AAAAATTGGATTTGAGCAATGAAGCTTATAACGTCAACACAGCCTACATCACACGCCCAGGCTCAAAAAAGAAGGTCCGGGTCGATGTTTGGGTTTTGCAAAATCAACATTATATTGATAAAGATATGATAACAACAGTAGATAATTCACTGATATCCTTCTCCCATCCATCACTCATTGGAGTCATCCACTCAGTTCATCCACAACCAATGTTACAATATATATATATATATAAGCCTGTGTTTATTTTCATCTGAAGCTCTTTGGAAACTTTTAATAGTGATAAACCTGCATAATAGTCTCACAAAACTCAAGCTGTTATTGTTCCTCAGTTTAACACTTTAAACTGCAGGTTCTTTATTTAGTAACCATGACAAAAAAGTACATCTCCAGGACACTGATCATTGAATTAAAAAGCTGTGTTATAACATTGCCATAGACAAAAATCTCTATCATGATGACAATAAGCACTATTATGTAAGTTACAAGAGTGAGGAACTGAAGTCTGGACCTGCCGATACTTTAGAGGTTAACTGAAGGAGTCCTAATGACAATGCTCAAAGCTGTTAACGATGCGACTGGCCATCACTTGTGTGTGTTTGAGTCAGTGATGTCCACGCTGGCTGTAATGTGGCACTTTGAGCTTTCAGTGCAGATGACTACCCTCACCACCAGCAGAGCTCATCTGCAGTATGACACACAGCAGGACCAGCACTAAAGCCATGTAAAATTCATACACTGGAAACACACTGAGCAGCTAAGTCTCAAGAACACACACAGGCACAAACACACACACACACACACACACACACACACACACACACACACACACATACATCCGCACATCTTTAAATAATTCAGTACTGCTGGGCGGGGTGCGAAATTTCATTCTCCTGTGAGTGACATGCAGCAATCTCAAAAGAACCGCAGTGCTGTGAAATCAAAAAAACATCCACGAAAGTCACTAAAGCCTTTAAACATGTCCACTCAACTACGCACACCCACGTACACACCCACTGAGGGTTCTCCCAGCGGAGTTACCTGGATTTTCACACTTGCTAAACTGCTGAAAGTGGCCGAGTAGCTGAAGCCTGGGGAGCTGTAGCAGAGTGCTTACAGCTCCAGATATCGATTCCCCGACGCTCTCCACACTTTGCATCACGCAGCTGCACTGCGGACGCAAGCCTAAACAATCACTTAGTAATTACTTTATACACGCTCCACACACTTTTGATACAAGATCTGCAGTCCAGGCCAAACTTTCAGCCATATGACTCCAAGACAAACGGCTAACCACATTAAAGCTGGTTCTTTATTGTTAAGTAACCATATACTCTGCTTTGGCATTCAGTGGTTTGAATCGATTTATCTATGCTCCATCCATAAATTAATTCTTTAAGCAGCTGTTGTGAGGTTGGACAAGGTTTACAGAATCCCATTCAGCCTTATGAATTCAGGTTAGAGCTCAGATTCACTACATAACACTGAGTTTCCCATTTAAAATGTTAAGCTATTGATCTGGACTATGTCACTGAATCTAACTGAAACAATGCAGTTTTGAAACAGCAACAAATTTGCCTTCACACTATCATTAGCTTGATTACACAGCAAAAGACGACATCTGATGTCTTCGAACAGTGTGACTGTGCCGCGCAGCCATCACTGGGACCCGAACCGCAAGCGAGAACAAAACCCCGCGAGGGAGTGGTAGATGGCGCGCAAGTCCAGAGCCCCACCTCCTGGGCACCGTGCCCCTCCTGTTCTGCAGCGAGGCCGCTAGACTACATCTCACATTTAATCCAGGCGGCCGAGCTGGGGAGCGGGGGGCAATGACAGGGAGGCGGAGCGACAACCTCTGACCCCCTCAGCTCAGGAGCGTGAGCGCCTTTTGAAACCACTGAAAAGTGGCCAGGTTTGGTTTGTTTTGGTTTTATTGGTTGTGTTTTGTTTTGTGAGGGAAAATTAAGAAATAGCTGCTGCAGACGTTTCTCTTGCCTCTAGCGTCCTTCCTGAGCCCAGGGTAGCACATGGTATGCTACAGTGACCTTTCTCCTTCATGCAAAGTGTTTGAGTGGCATAGACCTTTGACATCATTCGTCATTCTGTAGTCTTCATCATGCCCAGACAAGCAACTCGAGGTGTTGGTGATTGTTCTCTAAGGTGAAAATGAATGGCATTTTTGAAAATCGCAGCTATTGTGCCCTGTGGTAAATTAAGATTTTCCAAACTCAGTATGTTTTGTCCTACATACATTTTCCCCGTCAAATATCGCTGGATTCTCTGAAATACGAGGTCGATAAGGAGCCAGCATAGGTATCTTGCTACGTCTCTGTTGCAAGCAAGCTCACAATCGCACAGTCTAATACTGTTCTTTAGCATTATTCTATAATACACAAGCTACTCTGAAGCTAAGCTCTAGGCTACTACTGATAATACAGCTTAACCTCCACTTTTGACAAAGTTTACTAGTTTTTGTGAGGTATTTTGGTGAGATTGCCAGTCTTATGATGTCAGTTGTTTACTGTCATGAGGCATTATTCACATATAGCCTCCTGTTCTTGTAATTCAGAGAATCTAGTTACATTCAGAGAAAAAATGTATGTAGGATAAAACATCGATTTTAGAACTTTTTTGCATGACATTCGAAAATGCCATTCATTTGTCACACAGAGAAGAACAGCTTAGGCTACTATGGGAATGACACGGACTACAGACATCCACTGAAATGATCTACAGGGAGTGAAAAGCATCTGGAACAAAATAACATGCTAATTACATGACACAAGTGAGGTGACCTGCGATGGCGTTGCTATGGTTATGCTATGGCTATACATTTTGTATATCTCTCTCTCTCTCTCTCTCTCTCTCTCTCTCTCTCTCTCTCACACACCTGAGGATAAAAGCTCAGATTTTATCCTCCTATAATCACACTCCGCATAAGCCCTGCGGGGTGCTTGGCAAACAGCGTTCAGCTACCTCCTCCTTTCACCTCTTCATTTCTGTTACACAAGACACCTGTAGAGTGTATTCAACAAGCATAAAGAGCCCACGCCATTTATACAACACATAAACACACATACATTTAAATAACAGCATTATCTGGAGCACACCCATTGCTTTGGGCAGGAGTGGACCCCAGGTCAGTGAAGCCCACCGCTTTGCACACCCACTCTTCTCTCTATGATGCCTCAGAGCCTGCCGCCATGGCCAGTGAGAGGCGTTCACTCCAAACAAAACGCAGTTAAAGAAGGCCACTGCCCGCAACGGCACAAGGACAGCACATAAACACTGTCAAAACCCACAGAAACAGAGTGGGTTCCTCTCTGGCAGCAACAACAAAAAAAAAGTTAAGGACGTAGGATGACATGGGAATAAGAAAACATTAATGATTTCTTGCCATTTGCTGTAAAGTACTGGCCTTGAAACATCAAACATACCATTATAAGGATATATTAGACAGCAGAGAAGCTGAAATTTCCAATGACAGCAAAGAATGCAAATACTTTTTACAGGCATTTCATAATATATAGCTAGATAGCTGTAAATTCATTTGACAAACTTCAGAGGGACTTTATGAGACATGTGAAAGCGTTGAACAGCACATTGAAAAAGCAATATTTCAGTGTTAATGAACAGCTCATGTCAGTACTCTCGAAATAACATCAAATGTTTATGCAGTAAGATACTGTATAGATATAAACTACAATGACAGACATTTGTTCCATTTATATGACTATGAGGAATGTTTAAAGCAGAGGTCTAGGTAAGATCCCCACATACTGCATGAGTTAAATGAAAGATGCCTTCAAACTTCCTCTGTCTTAAAAGTTCAATTACATGGGAATGATGCTTCACAACAGCATAACAAATACAATACCTGTCTGTCACTTTAGTTTAAGGGCCCTTATTTCAATACAATGTCATTACTTTATAAAACATCTTATGTCATCTTGTGAATACTGATATCAGCTGTCCAAGTATTCCTTTCTAAATATGTTACTCAATGCTTATACATGTGTTATGAAGTCCTTATGTAGTGCTACAGTAGATTGTTTAGCATGTATGTTCTTACTACTACAAAAGGTGACAGTATCAATCAAAAGTTTTGAGGCACTTAAATGACTATATAGGTTTTTAATAGTTGCAAAAACATTCTGATATAAAGGCTTATGCTTTAGTGCATGAAATGCTTTGTTTTTGCTTCATGTCTTCATGAAGCTACTTGAGCAAATGCCAGAATGCCAATAGTATGTAAAGGTGTATCAAAGAAAAGGGGGGGCTACTACAATCTCAAATATATAACACTTTTGTATAAACTTTACTTTGGTCACTACATGATTCATGTGTGTCATAGTTTGGGTACATTTACTTTTATTTTAAAATGATTCAAATGATTGAAAAGAAATGGCTTGATTCTGTCATCTATAAATATGATCTGTAGGTAGATCATTTGAACTCAAAGAGCTGCTGCTACTCCTATATCTCCATTCTTTATCCCAGAGTTGGCTTTGGCTGCCCGAATCCTGCAATATCCCGACCCAGCGGGGACTCGCAGTCACGGATTACACAATCCCACAGACATGCGCTAATCTCTGAAAGAAGAAGAGAAGGGGGAAAAAACTCTTTCATTCCACTTCCAGCCTCCCGGCATGGCAGGAGTGGCCTTGAAAAACCTAACTGATGTTGAGCTAGCAGAGCCTGATGCTTATGCTAACAACAGAAGTGTCTATTGCATAAGACGCTGAAGTGAAAAATTAAAGTAGCTAGTGATCCTAAAAGCCCACTATAAGGTGAATAAAGAAATGAAAGCCTTTATAAAGCACTCTCACCCCTGCAGGACTGAATTCAATTGAGGGCCATAACGCTCCCCCATGAGCTTTTTACTGCTTTTTATCAAACAAATCATGCCATCTTAACGTGCTGGCCAAACTCGGCCCAGTCAGCCCTTCGGGAAAACCCCTCAAAGCTGGATTAGAAAGTTGAAAGGGCAGCAGCCTCACCTGCATCTCTTTGTCTCCGTACTTGGAAGGGTTCTTGCTGCCTTGGCTCTTCCTTCGCAGTTTCTTCAGCTCTGCCTGGCACTTCTCCAGACTCTCTCCTTTGCTCCGGTGCTCCATTTGGTACTTCTTCAGAGCCGCCTACCGGAAAGAACATGAGACAAGACCTTTAGTTCAATTGGTGAGAGTGCAGCAGTGAGGACGTGGTCTTTCAAAGAAGGATAAAATAACAGTTTGTCCATTTACCCCGAATGTTATGTACTCTGGTGGAGGGAGTTAAGTGCCTCCTTGCCCAAAGGACCCCATCAGTCCTGGGATTTGAACACGTAAATTTTGCCCTGGAGCTACACAGCTAATGAGCTAATGGAAAACTACACCTTACTAATTAGCATTGTCCATGAAAATGGATAAAGGTTGAGATAACAGTATGTCATACAGTCTCAGAAATCACATATCGCTGTTGTCGGAGCAAAACCTCATATCTTTAAAATGGTAACCTTACAGGAGAAGGGAAAAACTACTTTACTTTTAATGTAAGTCAACGGGACCAGAATTTTTTCCAAGTAATTTTGAGCCATTTATTTTGGTCCATTTATCATGAAACTTACACACAGCGGAAAATGTCAAAAACTGAAAAATGACAAAAATGGAGATACGAGGTTTTATTCTGACAGCAGCGATATGCAAATCTATGAGATCATTTAATAACTCAACACAGTTTACCACAAGCGTGTAATGATTTAGGCATTTGCGTGATGCTAAATAATAATGTAGAAGTTTCTATTACTCATAACTCTGGAAGCAAAGGTTGGCTGATAACATTAGAAGTAAAAAGTAATATCTGGTTATTTTATTTATACTTTTGCCAAACGGTTCCTTTAAAGTCACAGCAAACCTTTATGTGTCATCCAGCAGTCTTGCATGAATAAATGTCAAACTGAGTTTAAAGCGTGTAACTCTTCCTCTGGTGCTTTTATTTCAGGAAACACTTCATGCCGATTTTCCAAAACCATTGTTAGCCCTGTAAAGCTGTTTAAATGTCACGCTGACTAAAGTAGGTCAAGACAGTTAAGAATTCAGTTTCTGTGAAAATGCATTCAAATCTGGTACCACACTAAAGCCAGTGAATCTCAGTCTTTAACCTAGATTCTTTAAAAAAAGGTCCTATATAGAACCAAATGCTTTATGCCTTGTATCAGTAGCAGAACCGTTGTTGGTGCTAATAACACCCACTTTTAAACGTTCTTCAAAGAACCATATACAGGTTTCCGTGGCATAACTAGGATCTTATGGGCCTCAGTGGTGCATAAAAAACGTCTCAAACAAGTTGATGCTCTCAAGACATGCAACTCAATCTACTAGTATCTAACATTAACCCAGAGATGGTTATGTTAGATTAACTATTTAAGACTTTAGACTAAAAACAATCATGTTGCAGGCTGTGAAGGATCTGTCTGAAAATGGCTGCCATTGATGAGAGGCATTATGAATAAGAGAGGCTCTGTGTAATGGTCTGTGTAAGGCTGATGGAAGTTAATTATTGAGGTATACTGTAAAGAAATTTCTGTGGGTCATTGGTGTACAACTGTTTCACTATCTATATGAGGGCCCAATGAAGATTTTAGGGGGCCAGGTTGCTGCAGGCCATCATGCTATCTCCAGTGGGTATGCCATGGACATGTTCCCAATCATGGAGACGAATCATTTAACCATGCATTTTTTAAGCAGTCTGTGAGTTGTCATGCTTCTATATACAACCACTGCCTTTACATTAAGGGTGCTATTTTAAGGGTGCATCGTGTAGAACCTGAGAAGCTTTCACATGTTGGGAGTTTATGGGAACTGGGCCTGCTCAGCTCTCCCATTGTCCTCCTCCTGTCATCCCACAATTCCCTTCTGCCCAGAGCCATTGTGTTTCGGACCGTGGCTCTTTGTTCCCTTTCACTGCCCACTGCCAAAGCTTTTTCTGCCACATTTCACTGAACCCAGAAAAATTGTTTATTTTCCGTCTTCCCTGGAAATGAATGAAAGCATGCTTAATTATTTTCATCAATGCCTCAGATGAAGCACCAAACAAATATGGCTGAGATTCACTGCCAAAGCACAGGGGGCCACACGTGAATGTGAGAAACGGAGGGTCAAGGCAATCCATTTCTGCAGGAAGTTATTAGAAATATTACATCTCCAGTCTTCACCATGTACATAAACACTGACGCTACCGTGGTCCACCCAAGAGAAAGACACATAATAGGAATAAGAATAAGAGAAGGGCTTTGAAAACATTTCTAATGTTTTCCATTTCATCATATGCAAGATGTAGACGTAAACTTGTACGCTGTGGAAGAAAACAATCTGTACTGTCTTGTAAATTCTTTAAATTTAAAGCATCTTCTTAATATATATATATATATATATATATATATATATATATATATATATATATATATATATATATATATAATGTGCACTAGGGATATACCAATTTTGTTTCATCCAGTTTGATCAGAGTACTTTTATGCTGAGTACTGACCAACAATGATGCAGTATTTGTATTTTCCATAGATAAAACAGCCACATAATTTAGATGAGATATGCAAAGCTGATAATTAATACTACAGTAAAATCACTTCATTTTTCTTGTGTGCATAATGTGACACTGCTTTTTCAATGACTGTTTTATAGTGTGCTGTAATATTGACTTAAAATCCAATTTAATTGAACCACCTGATGATTTGGTCATCTGTTAATTTAATATTCTGCAGTAAAATCACTGCATTGAGCTTAATAGTAAACACTCTGCAGTATTACAGCCATGCGCTCGCACTCGATGTGCCCATGTTTACACAAAAGGCAGCTAGTTCATATACTAGTCTGCAAGGACTGCAGATATTAAAGATTTCATTTTCTACTTTAAAAATGGTTCAACACACTGAACATTTAACTTCTGGGCCCGGATTCACGAAAGTGACTTAAGAAAGGAAATCTTCTTAAATGTGTGTTTTTTCTTAACTTCATTCTTAACAAACAGTTCTGAAAACTTGCTATTCTTCAAATAACTTCTTAAGAATTCTCTTATTTTTTTCTATTCTCTTAAGAATAAGTACAAGTGGTATTCTTGAAAATATTATGTTCTTGAATGTTTTCTTAACCTTACGATAGCCTCACAATTGTCTTAGGCTGTAAGAGTTGACGAGGTCAGCATCTAAACTTATCACAGACACTTCCTCTGCTGCTCCTGCCCATCCTTATCCGTCACCCCACAATTATCATATTTTATATGTCACATCTAGTTCTAGTTTGCAAAACTTTTAAAAGCTTGGTTTGATATTTCACCTCCATTTTGCTGTTCTCTGAGCAGATAATGGAAATAACCATACAAATTCAAAATTGATCTTGCGTCATTTATGGTACGTGGTAAAAAGCGACGTAGCTTACATAAGAAAAAAATGAAGATTTTCTTAGGAAAATTTTAAGAAAATAATTAAGATTATCTTAGATTAAGTTTTTTTTTGGGGGGGGGTGCATTTAAGAACATTCTTATGAACTTTTTAGTGTTTGTCTTAAGAAAGAATGTGTTTCGCCCATGGTCAGTTAGCTTAACAGCACCTCTACAACAGTGGCGTAAACAGAGCAAAAATTCAGAAGTGGATTCGGTTCATTTTAACTGATATGCTTGGATCATCCCTGATACCAATCCACTGAATTGGAATTGTTTTTTTATATCTACATCAAATAGCCTTGACACAAATCACTCAACTCTTACAACTCATCTACCTCTATCACCTCTGACAGTGTTCCACTTCCTACAGTGTGCCAGCTCTGCACTGAATGGAACAAAAGAGAATGCAGTCTCTGCTCCAACAGACCCTCATGAGTGCAGTTATATAAGCACACATTATGTAGAACATGACAGACTGACATTAACTGCACCACATTTCCATTATATCGCACGACAGCTGTTTAATCAATGTTGCGCTGGCCATGGAGTCAAAAGAAAAGTTTGCCCAGGGTTCAGCAGCTCAGGTCATCAGCTCCATAAACCAAACAAAGCAGAGCTTACTGACCATGAGCAAGTGGCTGAAAGGTATCGAAAATGCAGGAAAGTAATACTGGAAAATTAAATTAATGGATGTAAAACAGTGTAGATGAAAACAATTTGTACCCTCTTGTAAATTGCAGTCTTGCATGTCTGCATGTGTGGTGAGCTGTAAAACTGGAGTTCACTGCAAGCCATTTTGGAATCATTTGGAATGAACTGTAAACCAGTGTTAATTTAACATTGTAAATGTGTATGCACGCTCGTTACCTACATTTAAATATCGGACATCCAGCTCCACTTTCTTCTCCAATTCTGTGAGTAGCTCATTATGGAAGGATTTCAGCTGAAAGATAAAGTATATGAATATGAATATATGAGTTAATGACATTCCTCCCTCTCTATTTTTCTCTTTCTCTCACACACAAACACAAACACGCTCATCATCATCATCTCCTCATCTCCACTGTTATACAAGGCAACAGGGGTGCTTTATCTTTGCTTAGCTATTCTGTTAGTAAACTGCTCAATATATAATTGAGTTCAGGCCCAGTCACTGAAATTACTTTCATTTCAATGGAATTCGCAGCAATGAGCTATTTTGCATCATAGACATCAGGCTTTGTGTGGGGTTAAACTTTGGCCAACGTTTGGTACATGAAATTGCGTCCTTGACCAATAGTGTCACTGCTTTGGCTGCGCTCGCTTCTAAAGGGGCGATGCTTTAAATAGCAGCAATGAATATCCACAGAGAAGGAAATGTGTTCTTACTGTTTCTGGTTTGCGAGTTAGCTAGCTTGCAAACTGCACCAAAAGGAATAATGTTTTTGTTTTTTTCCCCAGATCAGATTTGGTCACACCTGTTTTGCAGGGTGACAGAAACTGCAGTTGTCTAGTGTAACTGCTGCTTTACATGGTTTTGATATAACAGTGATGATAGGTTCAGGGCTAACAAGTCACCCCTAACCGGACCTAAACTGCGGCCATATCAGCTGGACACAGCTAAACTGGCTTTGAAATGATTAAGCCAGCTCTATGACAAAACACAGGGCAGGCTCTAGATATCACACAGCCTCTGTGGAAAACAAGCACCTTTAAAAGCTTTAAGCAGAGTGAAAAAAACACCTCAGAGCCGCTCCACCTTATCGTTTGAGTTAAGGCAGGAATGGAGAACAGCGTTTGTTTAACCTGCGTGTGTCAGTGTGTGACACAGAGCGGGAAAGCCCCCAGATATCTGCGAGCCGGTGGGTGGATAGCGCAGCAGACGGCTGCATTGTTCTCATTGTGCATGTGCGGAAGTGGCTCTGTTCATCTGACATTTTGAAACGGACCACCCTTCCCTTTCCCCACAGCGGGGCCAGATGGAGGCTTTCAGATAGGGTCATAGTAAAAGGACAGGGATAAGGGCAGTCTTCCATTGCCAATATATTCCACGGTTCACTATTCACCTCAATGCGCTTGGAGGAGAATGCTAATCAATGGACTTTACAGTGAAGGTGAGTGATACATCACTCCACAAAAGAGAAAGAGAGAGTGACCTCTAGTATTCAGTCAATCTTTAGTGGGTGAACTGTATTCAGTGCTTTTATTCCATATGGCAATTATAATACAAATGTAAAGGACATTCGATGTATAATTTCACACACCATGTCCTCTAACTGCATCTGGATCTGTCTGTGGACTTCGGCCATCTGAAAGAGCACGTCCCCTACAGAGAGAGAGAGAGAGAGAGAGAGAGAGAGAGAGGGAGAGAGACAGAGACAGTGGGAGACAGAGCATTGTTATAACACTTTTCTGCATATACATGCTCTGATATACACATGCAGTAAAATCATGCAGTTCCAAACAAACAACAAAAGCTGCACAAAAAAAACAGAAAGAGAGAAAGAAGGAGAGAAGGAGGTAGAGAGAGAGATAGAACAAGAAATGGACATGATGGAACGTCACTCAAATCACAGGTAAAAAGCAGACAACTTAAAAGTAACGCAGACAAGCTTAAAGAAAACGCAGACAAGCTTAAAGAAAACACGGACAAGCTTAACGATACCCACGAAGACAATGAACAGTGCTGCTAACAAGTCAGAAAAACACCATCAAATGGAAACATATGAGAGAAATGATCAGTTCTCATATTAAGCGCAAAGCAGAATAAAATGACATCACAATATACATGATAGCCATAGCAATGTAGGCTTACTGCAGTGCATGGTTCATCAACAGAAATGAAAGAAAACAGCAGCTACAACATGTTGATCACAAACTGTGATCGTTAGTTTCTGAGCAACAGAGCTGTGAGAAAAGCAACAGATTGAAAGAAAGTAGCAACAAAAGAAGCAACGAAAGAAAGAAAAAGTAAGAAAACGTTTCATTCATGCAGCCAGGAGGGGTGTGTGTGGCCTGTGTGTGTGTCGGGTATGCAGGGTACCTACACGCAGCTTCTTCTGATTATGCAAAGCATTGTAAAGGATAAAAAGAAAGAAGATAAACAAAAGAGCTAGATTGAGCAAGAGACAGAAGTACAGTAGACCTGGGGGGCTGTGAAAAAAGAGAGAAACCTTTCCAGGGCCAATAAGACAAAACACACATTACCCGTTTTTCTCCCCCGTTTCCCCCAAATGCAGCCAAACCTCAATTAATATGGATCAGCAGCATCTCTAGTTAACCGAGACCCATTCTTTCATTCTCTATGAATGTTGTAGGTTCAGTTCAGTAAATATGTACTGAAGAGGAAGTTAATTAAAGTGGTTTCAGGAACAACAGTTTCATTATGCTGGAATTTGTTTCGGAATTTTTTTTTTGGAAGAGTTTCCTGCTTCCTAACTCAAAGTGTTCATGCAGTCTCAACTGTTTGAAACTGAGAAAACAATGGACAGTCATAGTACACTTGCATGTATTTGACTGCTGAATAGATATGAAAGAGTCTTAAAATGTTTTTTTTTACACTGATTTGTTCAGTTCTTCATTCATTTTAAATGAAGCTACGACAATAAGGCTGTGACAATTCACCATTAATATAGGGACGAAAATGAACGGTTTTGATCAAAAATCTTGCAGAGACTAAATTAAACTTTATATTATCCACGAATTCTGGTGTATTTAGTGATAAGTTGACAGTGGTTAAAAATGTTCAAAATAAGCTATTCATTGTTGTAGGTGCTGCCATGTTAAAGTGACATCAAGGAACTGAAACCCTGACTTTGAGTGGGAATTACAAATTGAAAAGTCTTTCACATGGATTTATCCCACTCATGTGCTGATGGACACAGCATTAGCATAATGGAAAAACTATACATATCTATTGTTTTTTTGAATATTTCCTTACAAATTACAAATGAAATGCCTATTTTGAGGGAACATGACCAATAGAAGAGTAAAAGCCTCATGAAAAGCTTTGGTCAGAACCGTACTGCAGTTGTCAGTGTGATAACAAACTGCATCCCTGTGGTGATCATGGCAGCATTGTAACAAACACATCATGCTTTGATGACATCACACGAGGTTAAATGGTTTTAAACAGCACAGAGTCATCTTCTAAGATCCTGTCTGAACCCATACTAACCGGGTTTTGGCCCATATCGCATTTTGGGGTATAGAACAGGTGTTAGTACACACGCACACTGTGGACCTTAAATGACAAGGCATTTAAACACCAATGCTTTATGACTGGAGACAGAGAAACACAAACACAGACACATTCACACAAATGTACAACATGAGCATGGGCTTGATATCTCTCTACCTCCAGTTTGTGGTGTGTGTGCACAAGCGTGTGTGGTCACCTAAGGGCTAATGCGCTAGAGATGTCACACCGAAATGTAGACTAATGTACTGGTACCTAGTGCCATCTGTTTGGATCACACCCAAAGCAGCCCAGATCAATAAATAAGCCGTGCTGTTGACTGTTGTAAAAAATGACAGCAGGTCTAAGGGCCTAGAGTTACACTCTCACTGCTGTTCACATTAACCATTGTCTTTATTCCTACTCTGTATCTTGTCACTGTCAGAACAAAACCTTGTTTTTGCATCTGTTTAATATATTTTCTTTACATTACGTCAGTGTAATGTACACTTTAAATTATGTCAAAATTTCATTTCATGAGGAACAGTCCAATAGAAATGGTCCAAAATGACTTAGAATAACAATAAATAATAACTTATTGAAAGTTAAGCAGGTTTTTTTCTTTCTCCTGTAAAGTAATGTTTTTGGGAGATGAAAGTTTTTGTTCTGACGATGACAATATACTCACTTTAAACTTGTTCAAAACTCAGTCACAACTATTGCAAGCAATGCATGTTGTGGTGATTGTGGTGGTCCCCCCTGTTCTCCAGGCATCACAGATGCTGTTCCACTGTAGGTGATTTCACCTGTTGGCTGAAATCACCTACAAGGTTGCTTGCATCTCTTAGAGAGGAAACTGTTCAAAAAACATTGCTTAGAAAGTGCTGCTATTTACAAAATGCCAAATAACTTGCATTATCTTGCTATAAAATGTCAGCTACAAGGGAATGATTTGGGCAAGACATAGTTCAGATAGCAGTTAGCTAGCTAGCTCAAGGGGACTATCTGAGCAAGATATGGCTGAAATGAAAAAGTTAGCTACGCAGACAACTTGAGTATACAATTATTTTACATAGTGATACATATAACTGCAGCTGCTGTCTATGTCTTAAATGAGGAAAGGTGATTAAATAAGCTGGCGTTACACAAAGAGGCTATAAAATAGCCTCCAGCCTCCAACCTAGATTGGAAGAAGTAAAGGTGGACCAGCTTGCCAGAGAGGACTACTACAGTCACCACGACAAGTTTTATGAACCAGACAGTCAAAACACTGATAAGGTACCATGCAATTACATCAAATGGTATAACTGATTTCAATCGCCACAGCATGGACAAGAAATTAAAGATGGTGTTTTGGGAAAGTTGCTGAATTGATGGTACCTAGTTAGCTTAACTAGCTAGTTAGCTTGCCAGCATTATTCGACCAGCTTTGTTAGCAAACTGTAGCCTCTGCTGAAACCAGAACAACGTAATAGGATGTGATAGGCTACATGAACAATGCTGGTTACTACTCTTGCTAACTAGCAGAATAATCAAGTTGCATGTGACTTTAATTATTCAATTGCACTGTGCACTGTTCACTAAGTGTAGTATGGGCCCTTGTACATATGCATATACATGCATGTACATATTAATTTCATAGTAGATACCCAATAGTTCCTTGATAACAAGGCTTAAGATTAAGAACTGACCGAAATTCTAGGTTTCAAGTAAGCGGCTTTCAGCTCTTTGCTGAATCATACATGTTTTCACATATTAACGATTTGTGTGCACAGGTAACAAAGCTGCACAGCAGAACACATTTCATAATATTTGACCCTATTTGTCTTTCTCTTTTGTAACCTGGCCCTATCCTGACATTAAAATTGCATTACATATCCAATCAGCCCCAGCTCTAAAGCTCAGAGTTCTGCGAATTTCTGGCACAGTCTTTTCCACAGATCTGTGTCGCATCAAGGACAGCAGAGCACCGTACAGGAGAGAGTACGAGTAAGAGTGCTCAAGGTAAAAGCTGCCTTAATGCTCTCTTCAGCACCCACTCCCCATATTCATTATCTCAGATGTAACCCTTGTAAATTACAAAAATCACCAGTGACAGCTCGTGATTATTGTTGAGTTTTGTTATTCCCAAAAATCAATTTTTGTTAAGTTCTTTACAACAAAACAAACAGGAAAATCCCAGAAGTGCAGGCTCAAACTCGTCAATCCAGGATATAAGTTTAATGTATGTAATTCATTGTTTAAGTGTGTTAATTATTCATGCAATTACATTTAAACAGTATAGAAAAATGACAGCACACTCTAGACTTCTAAGAGCTAAAAAGGAACACGTACGGCCACACTGAAGAAGTCTGAGTATCAGCATGCAGGATAGACTACACGATGATCCCACAAATGCCCACCCAAACAGTGACCGGGTTACCTCATGGCCCACTGAGACCTGAGCTAAAGCTATGGATTAGGGCTAATACACAATGCGGACAGGGGTGAATCTGGAGAACTTTATTAGTGTGTGCTGGTGGGCTTCTAGAGTGTGTGTGCTGGCAGGCTGGAGATGGGGGTGCTTTTCGGTTTAATTCTCCTCTTCCTGTCCTCCTTCTCAATCACTCACAGGTTTACAGTTTAACCCCTTAACTGCACCCACATTACAGTTCTGCACTCTCATAATTATATAACTAACATATTAATTTCATAGTAGTTACTGAATACTTTATTTTGAGATAGAAGTCTTGGGATTCATAACCAAAAGATATTTATTACTATCATAACTTGTTCAATTAAAATTACCTTCTACCTTCTATCTATCTATCTATCTATCTATCTATATATATATATATATATATATATATATATATATATAGATAGATAGATAGATAGATAGACAGATAGATACATAAAAAGGAGAGGGACATTGTGTGAATGACCTTGTGTACCTTCCCTCATTGACCTTGGCCCCCCAGCTTCATCTCTACAGCAGCACACTCTAATTTCCTCTCCTAGTCAGCACAATGTGATCTAATACCACTCCACTCCACCCTTCCCTCCATCCCTTCTTCCATCAGTCCACTCACACTCAGCCAGGCCTCTAAGCCGCTTACCAATAATCAGCACAGATCACAGCAGCTGCGGCTTACAGGGCCTTCTACATATTGTTGTCTGAGCTTAACAGAGGGCTGGAGCAATTAAAAGACAAGCAATTAAAGCCAACACCGGACCCTTCAGTGACCGCTGATCAATAGCCACAGAGCTCTCAGTTTACTGAGACTGTATGTGGTCTCTGATACTTTAGAGGCCTGCAACAGGCTTTAGAGGGAAATCCCCTTATTCAGAATAACTGCCCTTTGACCATGAAGAGACTATTTAATTGTTTGCAAAGAAAGACAAAAGAAAGAAAAGGATGAGAATCAAAGAGCAAGAGAAACTACACTAAAGCAAGAAAATACTGACTGTTTTTAAAAGGAACTTTTAGTTAGCTCACCTCCAAAAGGGGCTACAAACTAACAGGACAACTGTGAGGGGTCAGGAGAAACGTGTTCTCAAGCCACTAGAAAACAGTTTATTTTGATTTTTTAACCAATAAATAATAAAGTTAGCTCCAGTTACGACGCAGTGCAAAGTCTAAGAATGAACAAGCCTAAGGGTTGGAATAGATGTAGCAGCTCTATCGGGGACCAAATGTCCCCAAGACGATGGAAAACATTAACATTTTGACTTTGTGGTGGCATGTGTCTGGTTCCTGTCAGCAATTTTCTTCCTAAAGAAAAACTGTAGCCTTAAAAAAAAGAAAAGAAGAAGTATCTTTCTGTTAAAGGGAAAATCCACTTATTTTTCAAAATTTCTGCACAATTAAATGATTAAGATCTAAATAAAGTCATTCAGAAT